GACTTAGCTAAAGACTTTATGCAAAACAAGATCTCTCCGCCTTCCCCTGCGATGACTGCGCTCAATGACTTAATGCGTTATAGACGTTTCTCCGTGAAGTAATTAAAGGATTATTATAATACAAATCACATCGGCTGTTTTCTGTGGCGTGGAGCTGTCTGGCAGGTTCAAAGCCCTCGCAGGGGCCGGCGACTGAATAACACGAGCGTCTTTCTGCTTTCTGATGGGCATGAAGACACGTTAATACCTGAAAGAGCCGCTATCCCGTGACCTTTCCACGAGAAAGACTGCTTTCTCTCCGCCGCCGTCGACAGACTGTAAATCACCCGCAGACAGACAACAGAGATGTGCGGCAAACAACTTCATTTGATCAGCTTTATGTAAAACAGAAGCTTTGCGGGCACAGTGAATTAAATGTAAATGTTTACGCAGGATTTTAGGAAGTGTGCTAAATGAGATAATCCCACCGGCGACCCACAAGGGAACGGCTAATAAGTTTATAAGAAAAACGCATCTGCTTCTGGTGGACTCGCGGCTGATGCAGGTGTCTGACATACAGTATGACTCCACACGTGAACACGATACGTCACGCAGACGCTTTCAGAGAGTCCCGCCAGTGTACCGACGAAACATGCTACCTATCAGATTGTGCTACCAAAAATACATTTACATTGTTTTAAGGGTAAGTTTAGGGTAAGGGTTGGTGTGGACGGGTAGGTTTAGGGTAGGGGTAGGTATGGACATTTTTAAAAAGCCTCAAACCACATGAATAAGGTGCTGGTAGCACAATCTGAGCGGGTAGCACAAATCATCAGAACACTGGCCATCGGCTGCGTCGCGGTCTTTGTTTTGGGTGATTTGCTCTCCCAGACGGGCCGGCGTCATTAGTGGACTGAGGATTGTGGCTGAATAATTCCTTTAACACATGACACACAATTACAGCGAGAGAAGGCAGACAAAGGGAGAGGTCTTTCACCCGTTTCCACACTCTGAGAGGATGTTAATGATGAGCCGCTCGCCGCGGTGTAATCAGCTCTGCCTTCCATCAGGAGGACTTAATTAGCTACTGTTATGAGCGTAAACACGGCTCGACTCGGACCGCCGGCCCCTCGCTGTTTAACATGTCGACAAATCCAGAGCGGCACTGCGTGATGCCTCAAAAACACTCGCATGCACGCTGAAATCCTGTACAGTATTAGATGATGTGGTTCTGTTTCCGAGAGAACCCCTGCTTTGAAATACACTCCTAAAAATAATGGTTCTTTATTGGCATTGATGAAAAATCTATAACATCCATTGAACATTCCCTTTCCAAAAAAGGTTCTTTATAGTGGAAAAAAATGTTCTTTAGATGATTAAAATGCTCTTCACACTGAGAAAATAATGTTTTTTTAAGAACTGATCACTGAAAGGTTCTCTGGAGAACCAAAAATGGCTCTTCTATGGCTTTGCTACAAAAATACAATTTTTAAGAGTGTGTCAGTTATTGCAGAAATACATTGACTTCTTGACTCAAAATAACAAGATATTTTGTATGAATATTTTCTTCCATTTTCATTTCACTAAATCACATGTATTCTGACAAATCTTAATGAATGAATGAATCATAACGCTAGCGTTAAGACTTTAATTAAATGTATACGTCACATGTCCTTACTAGCATCCTTCACTGCTCGACGAGGCTCAGCTGTCACGGGATATGAATGTGCTTGATGCATCGCCATTGCATTGGCATTGATGGTTCAATGAAGAACCTTTGACATCCATCTGCACAAAGATTTGTTATAGTGGAAGAAGGTGCTTCAGATGATTTAAATGTTCTTCAAACTATGAAAAACATGGTTCTTTTGAGCTCTGATGACTGAAATGTTCTTTGAGGAACCAAACATGGTTCTTCGACACTCTCAGAAATAAAGGTACAACTGTCACTGGGACAGTACCTTTTCAAAAGTTACATATTTGTACCTAAAGGGTCCATTTTGGTACCTTAAAGGTACATATTGGTACTTAAAGTGTACATATTAGAACCTAATAAGTACAAAAGTGTACCTTTTAAAAAGGTACCTTTATGTCATGGTGTCACTGTTTCCATCATGAAAAATATGATGATCCCCTTCCCAAAATACTGTCATGTATAACGGCCCATTTTTACTGTGTGAGAAAAACATTAAGCATGGTATTAAAGAGTCAACACGTTGTTTCTGAAATTAAAGAATTATTTCCAAAATTAAAACATTATCTGAATGATTTCTACCGTCTACAGATGTGCAAAAACATTCAGTTATTATCACAATAAAAACCTCATGATTCAAAAGTAGTTTGACAGAAAACGAACTGAACAAAATGAAACAAAAAAAAACTAGTGCTGTCAATGCAATAAGCCTTCCTGTAGCTCAAACTGTAGAGTAAGTGCTTGCAACACCAAGGTCATGGGTTCAATTCCCAGGAAATGTATGAACTGATTAAATGTAGACCTTGAATGCAATGCAATGAAGTCGCTTTGGATAAAAGTGTCTGGCAAATGCATAAAAGTAATGATTCAGATTAATCGTATTATTTCTGAAAGTAACATTAAAATTTTGTTAAAAATGTACCACCAGAAATTACATCTAGTTTCAAAATAAACTATGTAAACGAATATAAACACAAACTATCTTGTTCAAATGTTTTGCAGACGCTCTAGTTTGAAATGCTCTGATTGTGATGGAGTTGGAGGGTTTTCTTCTCTAAACTCTCATTCCTGACCTGTCTTATTGTCGAGTTTGGGGATGTATTGTGTCCCAGCACTGCCCTGGGCACTGATTAAAGGAGGACACATGTGACACACAGCAGCCATGATTCCGCTCTCTAACTGATGTAGGCTTATTGGTTTTATTTAATTTTTCCTTTTTTATTAAGTGCATGACGTCCCTGGTGTTAACTATATAATGAAATATCTCGATTCTCAAATATGTGTAAATAAATGCATCTTGCACCATTATAGATCATGTTAGTTGATCTTTAACGGGCGATAAGCACAGTAGCCTTATCTTTTTACTTGAGTACCTGATATGGGTGTCATGCCATAAAATATTTTTAATACTACTGACTTTGTATTTAACGTGAATATAATAAAAACATAATTTATTAATTATAACACTTTCATTGTACAGAAAGAGAGCAAAGAACATTTACATTATCAAAGAACATTATCATTGACTTAAGCCTAGCACTCTCAAAAACTCCCATTATAATCACTGAAGCTGTTTACACTGTGAAATGAATATCTTACTTGCATCGTTCACACATCTGCACTTTGTTGTTTCCGATGAGAGAGAATTCGCGAGAGAGCAGAATTCAGTGCATTGAACAAAACCCCGGTGTTTCAGCGTTGACTCATCTGAACGCCTCTGATTGGCCGCTGCATTCATAAGCTCAACAGCATCATGTATGATTGGTTATAATGCGCAGTGCTGTAGAAACGCGTCTGTCTCTGGATCGAAGAGCGAACGCAGATTTGAATTTATCAGCTGGTGATATCAAATATATTAAAATATATGTATATTATTCTGCTATTTTTTGTCTTTTAGAAGCTGCATTCAAAATCCACTTGGCTCAAAAATCTGAGGGGACCCGTGCGTGACGCCTCTGTCCCTGATTTCTTGTTTTCAGAGATGCACGATGACGAGTATTGGAGAATATACACAAGGCTTGCACATCTCTCCACACGTGTTCTTTCTTCCCATGATGACCTGCACTTGAGCATCACCTCCTTGGGCATATTAGATGCTGGCTAACAGATCGACAAAAGCCTTCAGTCAACACGGCATTTAAGATCCATTATCATGCATCTTCGGGTGGGTAAACGCACATTCATTGATCTGTTGGACAGACAGAAATATGTTTTCTTGTTCGCCCATCAAAAGCAGAACGCAAACAGTACTCTCACGGGAGAGTAAATAAAGCTGTGGATTATCGGCCTCTCTGTAAACTGTGAGCTGAATGTTGTGTACTGTAGCAGCTGGAGATGCTAATATCAGCCAAACACTCGCGGCCATGATCCTGAGAGCGTTTCAGAGCGCTGCGAGTTTACAAAAGAGACTGAAAGGGAAGAACTCCACTATTAGTTAATTTACATGGGCGCCGAGGACGCGCCGCTGCGCTGTTTCAATAATAATCTTGGATTTACCAGAGCTTGTTAAAGCAGGAGCTCGCTGGCTTTTGCGGGAAAGTCATCGCGCTGTAATTTCTAAATTGCGCTGGAGAGTGAATGGCGGGTTGAGGGTCTCACAGCGGGAGTTGGATCACTCTCTCTCTTGTTTAATGACACATAAGCAGAGCGTCTCAGACCTACAGCAGCATCGACTGCGCATTACCACATAGATAATGCCAAGCATTTGCTGTGGTGTTTTTATTGGCTTCAGAGCAATCTTCCCCCTCTCTCTCTCCTGTATAATGCACAGTGGGTAATTCACACTATATTAAAAACTGTTGGTGCAACAAAAGCGCTGTGATCACCAGCGTAAACGATCAGCTGCAGATGAACAGAGCGCGCGTGTGGAACATGTCCCAGCATCCTCCTCTTCCACACTATCACAATCGCTCTCGCTCTCCATGTGAAATGTTTGTTTTGGAGCAACTGGAACAGTCCTGTGTTTTTCTAGCTGATTGAATCGCTAACAGACGTGATTTCATTAGCGAGTGTTTTCGTCAGTGTTTCACTCGAAAGCTCCTCCCCCAGCAGACACCTTAATATAAGTTTGACATCAAATATTATTCAAGACTTGATCAAAATGCTGTAACATCATTTTAATTCAGTTTGGACAGCAATTTCTTCCAGTGGTAATTCGGTGAAAATAGGAAGTTGATCCCACACTGAAATTGGTTTAATGTAAATGTAGGCCAATATGTTTGACGTTCAATTTACATCAAATGAGTGTCATGTCGAGTTTTTGACGACAGTTTGATTTGCATACTTGACCTGTTTTTGACGTCAATTTTGATGTCAGTTTGATGTCTTTTCAACATCAGTTGCCCACTGGGCCGCACATTATCACGAACGCGCAAATTAGCATAAGCGTCAGCTCGAGAGGTCTGACGCTCACAAAACACCTAAAGTGGCGACCCTAAAGCCAAACGTTATGTTTCTGCACTTTCAGCTGATTGCAGCCCGTGTTCCCGCTTTACTCCTCATTCACACGAGGCAACTGAATAGACGCCGATTATGGATAACAAGCACATTACAGCACAGCGGGCACTCCGCAGCTCATCTCAGATTCCAGTTGCTTCGGAAACGCGCGTGGGACATTGAATGAATCAGACTGAATCAGACTGAATCAGACGCGCGCTGATGCGTTTAACATCAGACCTCAGGACAAATGCATGTTTGTGCCCAGACACTCAGAGACACTCTTCAATTACTGCTTGTTGAAAATGATGATACTTCAAACTGTAGTGATTCTTATGGAAATATTTTTGTGATTTAAAACCTTGTAATCATTGGAAATTAAGCTTTAAGATAAGTGTATTTGACAGTGCAACCTATACTGACTTTTTTGTTTGTGCATGGGTCATTCTATAATTTAGGGTACATTTCATGTCCATTGATGATACTGAAATACTTTGATGATATATTTCAAAAATATTTTACTCATGTCCGCAAAATTGAATGAATGCCCATGTCTTTAAACGTGCAGCTTCACATGCTCACAGGTATCATAATGACTGTTATCACACCCGCATCTGAAATCAGCATAATAATCATATAGCAGGAGCACAGAGAGAGGTGTAAAGAACAGAAAGCGCTGAGGAACAACAGCAGCAGCACTTCTGATTGGTGAGAAGGCATGTACTGCATTTTTACTATATTGTGTTTGGAAAGTGGAAGGAAGGTGTATGTGAAAGTGATTTGCTTTGGATTTTTGTAAGTCACTGTTTATGACAGAATCATTTAACTCAGGGTGAAATTCTATTGACTTCTGCTTTACGATTGGTAATGTTTTCCATATCCAGTCAGCCTGTTATTCTGAGAAAATAAACTCCTCACAGGGTGATTGGGATCCCGACTGAAAATGGAGGCTCTTGGATCATCCTGATGGGTTTTATTTAGCAATAATGACATCATTTCTCTTATGACTGGCCTACTAAGCAAATAAAATAAATTCATAATGGACATATATAATATTGATTTAGAATATTTTCTCAAAGAGGCACAGGATGACCACTGAACACTGCGACTGAACATAATCAGGTATTTCAGAGATATTCTGTCAGATTAGCACATATAAACCTTGAAAGTGCAAAACCTGACAAACGCAGCCAAGCGTTTTCCCCTTCACATTTAATCGTGCATGATAACATGGCGGTCAGGGAACTCCAGGACAACAGCTGGACTCTGAGATCCTCCTAAACAAACACAATCTCTTTCTCCTTCTCAGTGACGCGTCCAGAGCGTTTCAATGCCAGAATGTCCAGAGCACTTGTCTATTACATGCCGTTTAATTAACACTACTTAAATGTCTATTAAATTGAAAATGCTCGGCTGGTTTTTGCTGACCTCTCATCGCTGGTCTTTAGCTCCTCATTATGAAGCTTCATTTACAGGTATGAAGGCCTCAGTAATTAGAGGGGCTTCAGCGAGTCAAACGCTCTTGCGTACAGGCACATAAACAACCATTATTCCTGACAGATCCAATGCCTTCAGAACAAACATAATCAGCCTTTCAGATTCGCTCCAGCAGCACCTTGATGTAGAGGAGAACTTCACTTTTCTGTAATCACTGCTGAATGAACTGAATTCACTGTAATCAACAATATTTACGATCTTTAGATTAGATGTGTTGAACAACTGAAACATAATGTTTGCATTTAAGAACAATAACTGTAATGATAACTGTATCAGCGTCCACACCAACAGATGATAACAGTACGTTTTATGCTGCGTTTCACAAAGAAACCAAAAGAAAAATCAAGAAATACGGGAGCATCTCAATGAATGTTGTTATCAGCTGGAAGCATATAGCTCTGAATGCCCTAATCCTAACCCCATAGAACGTAAGTTGATAAATATTGCTATTAATATTTGAATTAATTTTAATGATTAATATGAACAATTATTAATATTATTTAGTACATAACTATAATTACACTGTAACAAAGACGTCTTTAGGTGCAGCCAGTTTAATAATGCTACTGTATGTTACCATTATTGTGTTCTAATAATACTGTGTGTCTGTTTACACTGGGGTGCAACATAAGATGCATATTTACAATAGATTTCTGCCTACAAAACCTATACGTACATTTCACTGCAGTTTCCAGCTGAAATTAACACTAGTGGCAGTAAAATACTGACAACTTTAATTCCTTTTCACACAAATTGTGATTACAGAGCAGATTATTGATTAATAAAGCCTTAGTTTTGCACTACTCCATGCACAATATTATGTTTTGATCTCAAAACACTTTTACAATAGTGCATGATTTGTAAATTAATAAATTTTGACGTTTGCATCACATAACCAGCTCCATATGTTTGGCTTTTCTGATGTAGTAAGCTTGCTCAGTAGCACACCCGGTAAAGCGTTACAGCTGTGATGTGAAGCACTCAGTTATGAGTCCCGTGAATCACAAGAGCTTAAAGACTTGTAGAAGCAAGATAACACGGCATTGTTGCTACAGCAACATGTGTTTTTATCTTACATTTGCTTTTGTTAACACTGTCAGGTAGGTTTAATGTAGGTTTTATCCAGACATTTCATTTCTTAACCACTGTGAAAACGACAAAAACAACGTATTAAAATGATGCGACCGTCATGTTTAACCGTTTCTGAGAAAACTGAACACACTACAGTATTGTACAGTACAGTGAAACTGCAGTGAAACATGCTACAAGCAACACTATGTCATTTTACAATTATTTTGTACCCACATTTTGTATAATTTTTAAGGCGTGTTTTACTGTAATAAACCCGCATCTGAAATGGAGAACAAATGATATAGCTTACAGCGCCTCCTCTGGACATGTTTCAACATATTTCAGGGTTCACAGAGTCACGTATTTCCAGCGAGTCTAGATGCAAAAACACTCTTTGTTTCCTCCTCTTTTCATTTCCATTAGTGTGTGTTGGTGTTTTTTTCCAGCGCCGCTGCATTTGACAGCATGTTTGAAAGAAGCTGTTTTTCTTCAGTGTATCGGCGTCTGCATAAAAGCGGTGATGTGTTGAACAACTGAAACATAATGTTTGCATTTAAGAACAATAACTGTAATGATAACTGTATCAGCGTCCACACCAACAGATGATAACAGTACGTTTTATGCTGCGTTTCACAAAGAAACCAAAAGAAAAATCAAGAAATACGGGAGCATCTCAATGAATGTTGTTATCAGCTGGAAGCATATAGCTCTGAATGCCCTAATCCTAACCCCATAGAACGTAAGTTGATAAATATTGCTATTAATATTTGAATTAATTTTAATGATTAATATGAACAATTATTAATATTATTTAGTACATAACTATAATTACACTGTAACAAAGACGTCTTTAGGTGCAGCCAGTTTAATAATGCTACTGTATGTTACCATTATTGTGTTCTAATAATACTGTGTGTCTGTTTACACTGGGGTGCAACATAAGATGCATATTTACAATAGATTTCTGCCTACAAAACCTATACGTACATTTCACTGCAGTTTCCAGCTGAAATTAACACTAGTGGCAGTAAAATACTGACAACTTTAATTCCTTTTCACACAAATTGTGATTACAGAGCAGATTATTGATTAATAAAGCCTTAGTTTTGCACTACTCCATGCACAATATTATGTTTTGATCTCAAAACACTTTTACAATAGTGCATGATTTGTAAATTAATAAATTTTGACGTTTGCATCACATAACCAGCTCCATATGTTTGGCTTTTCTGATGTAGTAAGCTTGCTCAGTAGCACACCCGGTAAAGCGTTACAGCTGTGATGTGAAGCACTCAGTTATGAGTCCCGTGAACCACAAGAGCTTAAAGACTTGTAGAAGCAAGATAACACGGCATTGTTGTTACAGCAACATGTGTTTTTATCTTACATTTGCTTTTGTTAACACTGTCAGGTAGGTTTAATGTAGGTTTTATCCAGACATTTCATTTCTTAACCACTGTGAAAACGACAAAAACAACGTATTAAAATGATGTGACCGTCATGTTTAACCGTTTCTGAGAAAACTGAACACACTACAGTATTGTACAGTACAGTGAAACTGCAGTGAAACATGCTACAAGCAACACTATGTCATTTTACAATTATTTTGTACCCACATTTTGTATAATTTTTAAGGCGTGTTTTACTGTAATAAACCCGCATCTGAAATGGAGAACAAATGATATAGCTTACAGCGCCTCCTCTGGACATGTTTCAACATATTTCAGGGTTCACAGAGTCACGTATTTCCAGCGAGTCTAGATGCAAAAACACTCTTTGTTTCCTCCTCTTTTCATTTCCATTAGTGTGTGTTGGTGTTTTTTTCCAGCGCCGCTGCATTTGACAGCATGTTTGAAAGAAGCTGTTTTTCTTCAGTGTATCGGCGTCTGCATAAAAGCGGTTTCTCATGAAGGCGTTACGCTCTGGTGTGAAGCTGCTAATCTGTTTGTACCTTCGTCTTCAGCAGTAGCTGCACAAACATCCCGCAGGAACACTGTCTGACCTCCAGTGTCACTCTCTCAGGATTCGCTCTGTCCATTTCAAACATCTGAGCTCTAGTAAACCTCTTAGAGCTTCTTAGTAACAGTCGGTCGATCAAAGCCACTCCGCTCTCAAGTGACCTCTAAGTTGGAGCACAAGTTTTGGATTGAGAGGAGAGCTGCTATTGTCTGACTCCACAACCCTGAACTACTAAAGCTCAGCTGGAGAAAGAACATGAAACGTGCTGCTCATGTAGTCATATTTTCATTATTATTACCTATGAATGGAGCATTAGGATCGGTGGATGTGACCTCTGACCTTCTCACACACACTGACTCAGACTTCAATAGCTTGAATAGTAATAGCTTTAGGATTTCAGGCTTCTACAATGAAAACAAAAACAGCCAAATGTGTTAGTTTTAATCAAATTGAATTATTTAAATGATTTAAAATGAATCAAAAATATTTTAAAGACAAAAAACATTTATGCAAAGCAAAAAGATTATAAAGACCATACCATACCTAATCAATGTATTTCATTAAGAAACAAACTACTGACAGTAACTAAAATGTTGCTTAATGTAGGTCAATATAATAAATTTTGGAGCTTTTTACAACTGAATTTCACCATAAACAAACTCTAAATTAGCTGCAATATTAATCAAGAATTTTTGTCAATGTTTCATTTAGTTTACCTACTATAAATAATGACTACTTTGAGATACTTTAAAGCTTATTGTGATCTGTTTTTAAAAGATGCATCATATTTTCTGTACTGAACCTCATGTGACAGACATTCAGAGATGTCCTCAATTGAATATACTGTTTGCACAGTATATAGTTTTTATAAGGTTTTGTGTGAAAGGTTTAGAGTGAGGCTAGTTCATCTTTGAAAGAAATGAAAAAACAATGGAGGTCTGTCAGACTTGTGTTCATTGTTTTGTTGTTTTCCTCCCCATGTGTTCCTTGTTTTCCCTCTTGTGTTTCCATGCCCTTATTTGGTCTTTCTGTTCCTGCTCCCTGATTGTTTCCAATTTGATTCCAGGTGTGTCTCGTCTTCCTCTGATTGTGTTGTATTCTTAAGGAGTGTTTTGTTCTAAGTTCTTGGTCTGGTATTATTTGTCCATGTGCTACGTGTGCGTCTCCCTGCCCTGTGTCTCCCCGAATCAGAAGATTAAAGACTGTGTTTTTGAGTTTACTCCTGTGTCTCCCCGTTCCTCCAAAGTAGCCGATACGTGACAAGGTCTGTGATATGACCTTATTTAGATGCATTTGTGTGTTGTGTGTGTGAGAGAGAGAGAGGAGGACAGGGAACCAAAGTGTGTGGCAGCTGACACTTTGAGTCTTTTGATTAGGATGTGTTGAGCTGAGGCGTGCAGCGGCTGAAGATCCACGCGTGACACCGGCACGTCGCTGCTCTTCTGCAGTAATGACAGACTCGTGCAGCTCCTGCTGTCTGCAACAACCTCCATTGTACTGCAAATAACAGTCTCTCGCTCTCCAGTGCTTATTAATAACACCTCTTTATTTGCACAGTGTCGGTAAAGTCTGTCTGTTGGACTGCATGATGATAATGTTTGAAGATCAGTGTTAATCATCTGTGAACCTTCAGAAAACATGCTAATATGAGAATAAACCAGCGTAACTCCTGCGTTGGACATCGAGTGACGACTCGACACGTTATCAGAGTGGTTCATTCTACAAAAGAAACTAAACTAAATCAGAAAATTGACATTATTAACCATATTAGTGAGTTTCTTCAATGTTGGGACATTCTCATAAAAGTCTCATCCAAGTTTCATTAATATGTATTCATATGAGAAGAATTATGTCATGTGTTTTTCTAAAAATCATGCACAATGGCTGTAGGGATGGGACCAAGCCATTTTAAGTCAATGCAATGTACATTTTGTTACAATTTCAACTAATATGTGATTTTTTTTTTAAAACCTCATTACACTTAAAGGCAAATCACATGCACATGACACACACTGGCCATTAATAACACACACAATTATTATAAAAGCACAAATATCAGCACAAATAAATACAAATTGTTGTACCAATAGGTATACAAATAATGCCATATTTTAT